TCTGACCGTAGACTGATGTTAAGCAACACGTTTTTTAGCGATCCGTTATCAGCAACTACAGCTCTCTTATCTCTTATAAACTATATATTTCCAAAATAGTCTATCCATACACCTATTGACCTATGTCCTTTTCATATTCTTCATTCCCCAAATTAAGACCAATTATATAGAAAAAAAACCAGAAACTAAGGCGTTTAATGTCTATATCGACAATGGAAATCCCTGTTTCATTTAAAATCATTTTTGTTTTTGTTTGAATTACTAAAAAATGTTGTATGTTATTTAATATTAGTGTTACTTTTATTATTATGTCTACAAGTTACAACCGGGTATTGGTATTGTTATTTCACTATTACTCAAATATTAAATAAGTATCTAATTTATATTCAAAGAGCACTGGCAAGTTATTTGTAATAAATAAATGTAGATAACTATTGATATACCTATTATAATAATAACAGGATTATAGATAGAATTCTAAAAATAATTATATTATATTAAGCAACATATTTTGTATTGTTTGTTCTACGATTTTAGATAAATGAGTATAATAAATCACAGTTGTCTTGATATTTGACTATTACTGTTTATTGTGATTTATGATTTGTGATTAAAAATTTTTTTATCCATTCATACCTTTTTGAAGTAAAACTTCTTTCTAGAGGTGGGGGTGGAAAAAAAATAGTAACGAAAAATGGTACGACAAGTTTGTTTATTTATTTATTTTGCAAGTTATGCACGGCGCGGAGGCGGTATTTGTCACTTGTCCCCAATTCACTTATAATTTCAAGGCCCCCAATACTTATGAAATATGTTTTACTTCCAGATAGTATAATGATAGGTTCACACACGCTCGGTTTTTTTTCTATATTTGTTTTAAAATGACAATATTACCAAGTTATTGTTGTGTTCTACATAAAACCGAAATTATGATGGACATTTTCATACTAGATTTAAGATTTAAATATGAGAACTAGATAGTATACACTAGCATTTCCCAATCCATGTGTCGTTCCTCACGGTATTATATTACTGTAAATTGATAAATGCTCAAGTTTTGTTTTATTTGATATATACCTATTATGTATAATGTATAAGAATATAATGTATGTATTATGTATATGAATAATTAAGAATAATTTGAATTCTATAAATACTATTGTGTATAATGTATGCCATCGATTTTACATTGGATACATATATCAATATATTTTTAGTGACTTTTATATTATTTTATTACGATTATAGTAAATATGTTATCTTATCACACACATGTAAACAAGTCAGGAAATTTAGGTCGACTCACAATAAAATTGGTTTAACTTAAGAACTGTTCAACTCGTATCATGTATACCTAGTAAATATTAATTATTAAAGTGATGGGAGATAACTAATGTTCTGTCAGATTGTCTGAGTTCACTAGTAGCCATCATAAATGCCATAGCCCATAACAGAGGTATACCTTTTTTAAATTTACGAAATCCACAAACGTATACATATATATACATACATATACGTATATAAATAAAAAGACAGTTTTTCTGCATATTCACGAAACAATTAACTCATAGGAACATTAGGAACAATATTTTCTCTGGGAGCTATGATAGTAAGTACAAGTCTTTATTCCACATAAATGTTTGCTGTTGGACTACTAAACTTTCTTCAATTGGAATATTAATTTTAATATTAACTCGTGTAAGCGATAATAAAAAAAATTGTAAAAAAAAAGTCACCCTGCTGTAAAGTTATAGGTTACAAGTGGGTCATTGTATAATGGATGGTATTAAATTTTTATTCGATAGAAAAACGATTCTGAGAGAAAACGGTCAATCAGCCTGTGATATTTTTTTTTTTTTATTATTTTTATTTATTCTTCAAGAAGATAATGTTCCCCACTGAATATGTTACTAAGTATTGATATTACTAAGTATATTTGATGATATTATTGTGAATAATATAATATATATATTTGCCTATTTACTTGGACCCTTGTTTAAAATTTTCAATTCTTAGCTAAAAAAGTTGAACATTTTATACATTTTTAACTATAAAATAATTATTAAATTTTAAATATGATAAATTTTGTCAAAATTCGAACTTTAAATGCTTATAAAAAAAAATTGTGGTTATGTATTTTTAATATTTTTCAACTGCAATTGTTACAATATATCAGTAGCTTTGCATTAAATTTTCACGCTTTTTTAAACAACAAATAATATTTTTTTAATATTTAAAGAAAAAAAAACTAAGAAAATGGAAAACTGACAATGCCTGTACACAGCTCAAAAAGAGTCAAAATGTGTTCAAATTTTTATATTGTATAGAAAATGAAAATATAAAAATTCAGTAAAATTTTCATGTATCTACAGTCATTCGTTTTTGAATAACAATAAAATAACGAAACCACTACATGAAAAAACGAGTGAATATCCAATATATTGTAAAATTATGAACTTCAAAGCTCATAAAAATTTAATTTCATTTGCTTGTAGAAATTTTTTTTTTTGATAAAGGTAGATAAATTTATGAGTAATCTTGTATTACATTTTCAAATCTTAGATTTAAAAAGAAAAGTTTTCATGAATTTTCAACTCGATCACGTGACAACGTGATTTTCCCGTATTTTGTCAAGATTTGAACTTTAAATGCTTGTAAAAAAAATTGTGACTAAGGATTTTTAATATTTTTCAACTGCTTTTGTATCAAAATATTAGGAGCCTTGTATTAAATTTTCAAGCTTTCTCTCAAAAAAAAATAAAGTTATAATGACATTCTTAGAAAAAAAGAGTAATAAAATTGGAAACTGGAAATGTTCCTAAACAGTTCAAAACAAATCAGTATGATTTGAAAATTTTATAGTTCATAGAAAATGCAAATATAAGCTACCAGTGAAAATTTAATGTATATACGTTAATTTGTTTTTAGTTAACCCAAAACCAAAACCGATTTTGCGTAAAAATTCATGTTTTTCCTTAATTGTTATGTTGTTTTTCCCGTCGCTTTGGAAAACTATTAGGAAATTTAAAATTTGACCTTCCGAACACACCAACCAGATTCACTCCCAGATCGAACAAGATACTGATGAAAAAAATCGAAGCAGTTTTTCTGCAATAAGCCGCGATAACGTACACAAAAAAAAAAATTAAGAATTAAAAATTTAATAATTTAAAAAAAACACACATCGTGATTGATCAATGATTGGAGAAATGGATTTGATCGCGTAAGATCTCATGAGAATTCATCAGAACATAAAACAAATACAGTTAATTTTAAAATTCTCCAACGAGGTATTGTTAGAATAGATGCAGAATTGGCAAAACAAGTGGATAATGAAATATTATATTGGAAAAAAGTATTGATTCGGATAATTGAAATTATTAAGTTTCTTTCTTCGAGAGGATTAGTTTTTCGTGGTACTAATGTACATATTGGTGTGAAAGATAATGGTAATTTCTTAGGTGCTGTTGAATTGTTAATACAATTTGATCCATTTATTGCCAGCCATGTTGAACAATTTGCCGACTCGGGAAAAGGAATACCATCATATCTATCGAAAACAATTTATGAAGAAGTTATAATTAAAATACACAAATCTTTAACAGATGTTATCTTAGCAGAACTGAAAAGGGCAAAATATTACTCTATTATTGTTCAGTGGCGTATTTACGGGGGGGGGGGGGGGTCCATGGGGTTCGGACCCCTCCCATTGACTAGTGTCTCGTACATGTTAAATGTTGTGCAGTTTTTACATGATTAAAAAACAAATTTTATCATACAATTTTACGGACTGTATAAAAAATTTTCGAAGCTATAGTTATATCAACATTTTCAATAAATATCGTGATTATTTTTATCAGTTGGGTACCGAAAATGGTTGAAAAATACCAAATTCATTTTTTAATTCAAATATTTTGTAGTTTTTTACATTGCCAGTATCTACAACCACTCCAGAGAGATCTTTTTCAAACTTTTTAAGGTTGAAAAGCCATCTAAGATCAACTATGAATGAAGTAGGTACCTAATGTAATGGAAATATTTGTATAAAAGTTATAACATATAACTATATAATATATATTCGATTCTGAGGGATCTATTGGTTCTACAATGGTGTTTATTTTTTTTTCCTGTATACAAAATTTCTTCCAGAAGGAGTGCTTCGATTTCAACATGTATAGACATAATATAGTAACTTATCTTTTATAAAATTGGATCAAAATAGTACTTTAGAGAGGTCATTTTTCGATTTTCTCAATAGTTATTTAATGCCACTGTAAAAACCACCAAAAAATTACGAAAAACCGCTAAAAATGGGATTTTAATTTCTAACACTTTGTCTATCACCATAGAAAAAAATAAAAAATAAAAGTATTTCATTATTAATTCAACTTACAGGCTATAATAAATAATAACAATATAAAATATCCAGACTGACAAACGGTCTTCGCTCAAAATCGTTTTTCTTATACAATGATATTATGATATTATATCATTGAGTTCAAGTTTAATACAATCCATTATACATTGACCCACTTGTAAGTTGTAACCTACTTTACAGCAGCAGAGTAACATCCACTCACCCGCTTTTTTTTTAAATTTGTTTTCTACATATTATTATTTAATAATTAAAAACTCGACAATTTTATATCGCCTTATAAATATGGTATATTTTATTTAATAAAGAGTAAATGGGTGGTGTGGGGGGCTTCGTCCCCCGTGGCCCTGTGTTCTGAAAATTATCTGGACCCTCCCCATGACAAATTCCTAAATACGCCACTGTTATTGTTGACTCCACCCCTGAAATTTCTCATGTGGATCAATTAGTATTTGCTGTCCGGTATGTGTGTCCAAATGGTGAACCTGTTGAACGATTTTTGTTGTTTATGTCAAATACTGGACATAAATCTAAGTAGCTAAAAGATGCAGTTGTAAGAATACTTTCTGATTATGAAATTCCAATAGAAGATTGCCGCGGTCAAAGTTATGACAACGCTTTCAATATGTCTGGCCCATATACAAGATTACAAGCCAGAATAAAAGAATTAAATCCCAATGCTGAATATATTCCTTGTTCAGGGCATTCGCTAAATTTAGTTGGCACTAATGCTGTAGAAAATTGCTTAAGTGCTTCTAATTTTTTTGATTTGCTACAAAAGTTTTATATTTTTTTTTTCATGTTCTACAAATAGATGGTTAGTATTAGAAAAACATATAGGAAAAGGTAAAGTTGTTAAAAATCTTAGTGTAACCAGATGGAGTGCATGAGCTGATGCATGTAAAGCTTTATATGATTCATATGAAAATATTAAAAATGCTCTTATGTATATAGTTAAAAATAAAAATGAAAAACAAGCTTGTATTGGTGAAGCTAAATCTATTCTTGCTTTATTGAGCTCACCCGACACATGTATAATGATTTGTACATGGAATTCAATATTAACCAGGTTTGACTTGCTTTAAATTGTATTTTTTATTATTTAATTATTATTTAATTGTACATTAAATTGATATATATACTGGGTGATTCTTTTATCAAACAACACTCATTATTTCAAAAAGCGTAAATTTTTTTGAAAATATTTTTTTACATAGTTTCAAGTTGCTTATAAAACAATGTTTTTATTAAAAAATTATATTTTTAAATATTTTTTATCCTTATAATTTTTTAAGTTTTTTACTCTTTTGAATAACAACATAGGGTTTTAATTTTATATTCCAAAGCAGAATATTTTTCTTAGTATTTTGATACATGAAAATCGAATTTGGGTTGAGTAGTTTATGAGTTATAAATATTCAAAGTTTGATGAGCGGTGAAGTGGACAAACATTTCGCGGGGTAACCCCGAACCACTCCACTCCGCTCGTCTAAACTTTAAATACTTATAACTCGTAAACTACTCAACCCAAATTCGATTTTGATGTATCAAAATACTCAGAAAAATATTCTACTTTAGAATATAAAATTAAAACAGTATGTTGTCGTTTAAAAAAGTAAAAAACATAAAAAATTATAAGGATAAAAAATATTTAAAAATATAATTTTTTTATAAAAACGTTGTTTTATAAGCGACTTGAAACTATGTAAAAAAATATTTTCAAAAAAATTTACACTTTTTGAAATAATGAGTGTTGTTTGATAAAAGAATCAACCAGTATATATTATATAATCATATATATTTAATAATTTATATTTAGAATAATAAATTATATTTTGTTTTTTGTTTTTTGTTTTTTCTAAGATTTAATGAAATTAATAAAAAAGTACAGTCTGTCAATATTGATCTAGCTATGGTTGTAAAATTATGTTATTCATTAAATTAATATTTAAATACAATAATAGACCAATTTGATGATTTTAAAAAATGTGCGATTGACCTTGGTTTTTGCTCATCTTATCTACAGGGAAAAAAAAGAATAAAAAAGAGAAAGGTATAATATTACTTATACATTTATGTACATAATACTTCATAATATTTTTTTTTAGAAAATGTTTGATGAAAGCAATACAGAAACAGATGAAGATGCAGATTGGAATTATAAAACTAAAATTTATTTAGTTATAATTGATTTATTAAAGACACAATTAAATGTAAGATGTGAAGCATATTCATCAATTCTTGAAGTATATGGTTGCATTCCAACACTATATAAGGACCATAGTAAACATGATATAAAACAAACATGTTACAATTTAGCTCATAAATTTCCAAGACATATTCAATCTTCTAAATTACTTGAATATGAATGCTTCCAATTTAGAAAACTTATTTTAACAGAAAAAGAGCTATTAGAGATTTCTACTGTATCACCAGCATGTATTATGTTAAAATATATCAAAGGTGAGGCATTATATTATGGAATCTTTCCAAATGTGGAAATAATTTTAAGAATGTACTTAAGTACTGCTGTTTCTAATTGTACGGGAGAGAGATCCTTTTCGGTGTTAAAAAGAGTGAAAAATTATATGAGATCTTCAATGAAAGATGATCGTTTAAATGCACTTTATCAATTAAGTATTGAGTCAGATTTATTAAAAATACTAAGTTTAGATGAAATTATAAATGATTTTGCCACCTCAAAATCAAGAAAAAAAATGTTTCTCTAATAAGTTATATATAATAATTAAATATAATATAAATTTCATAAATGTATATTTATAGTTCATACCTTAAAAAAATATATTGTAATATTTGTAAGTTTGTAACATTACTTTTGTGTATAAATATTTATAAGTTGTATTAAAGAACATACATAATATAAAATATGAGTAATGAGGATTGAGGATGAATAATGCCATACAATTATTGAGATATGAAAGACCTGCTAACCTATGAATTATGAAGTGAAACAATTGGATAGCTAGTATTAAGAATAGAAAAAAATTAAGTGTATAGAGTAACATGAATCTTTTAAACGTGCCTAAATTGTTTTGCTTAGTGTATAATTTTGGCTTAATCTGGCCGTGCCCAACATATAACATTTTATTTGTATTCATAGAAAAAATAACTAAAAAAAATGGAATCTGAAAATGTCCGTTAACAGCTCAAAATAAGCCAAAAAATTTGGAAAATGTTATAGTTTATAGATAATGCTAATTTAAACATTCAGTCAAAATTTCATGTATCTAAGGTCATTTGTTTAAGAGTTGCACCAAAAACCAAAATCGATTTTTTCGAAAACAGATTTTGAGTACAAGTTCTCGTTTTTCTTTAATTTTTCTTTTGTTTTTCACGGCGCTCTTGAAGACTAGGTACTGGAAAATTTTTACTTTTGACCCTACTCCCCCCCCACCAAAGAACCAACTAGATTAACTTACCTATCAGAAAAGATACTGTTGAAGAAAATTTCAGCATTTTTAATGTCCTAAGAGGTGATGACAGAGACAAAAATAAAAAAAAATTAAAAAAACAAAACAAAAAAGGTGGGCAAGTGTGTGTCGCTCTGCTGTACAGTAGGTTACAAGTGGGTCACTGTATAATGGATGATATTAAATTTGAATTCAACGATATAATATCCTTGTATAAGAAAAACGATTCTGAGCGGAGACAGTATGTCAGTCTAGGTATAAGACATATTATATTATACATATCTATGGTACTAAACCAAAATTTGACCTATAATAGGTACCTATAATAAATTCCAAAATAATCATATCGCAATATCCATTAGGTACTTATAACGCGTTATACATCAACGAAAACCGTGATACTATCATAGATATATAATAGTACACTTTAGAAGTTTCAAGTACCTACAAATAATATAATTCAATCACAACAAAATAACTAAAATAGTTATTCTAGGTTTTTTTAATATGTAATTTCGTCCAAATTTGAATTTAAAATGTCTGTAAAAAATAACTGTGTTCATATATTTTTTAGATTTTTTGGTTGCAGTATGAACTATTTATGAGAACCTTTGTTTTAAATTTGCAATCCTTAGCTATAAAAACTGAACATTTTATAATTTATTAATTTCAATGATTGATAATTTTCGAGATTTTGATAAATTTTGTCAAAATTTGATCTTTAAATACTTATAAAAAAAAACTGTGAATATGTATTTTAAATATTTTTCAACTGCTATTGTAACAATATATCAGGAGCCTTGTATTAAATTTTTACACTTTTTGGCCCAACAGATAAAACTTTATTGATATTTATAGAAAAAAAAACTAAAAAAAATTGAAAGCTGTAAATGTCCATAAACAGCTCAAAAAGAGTCAAAATATTTTCAAAATTGTATGGTGTATAGGAAATGCTAATATAAACATTCAGTGAAATTTTCATGTATCTACAGTTATTTGTTTTTGAATTACAACAAAATAAGGAAATCGCTACATGGGAAATCGAGTGAATATTCAATGTTGTAAAAATTTGAATTTCAAACGCTCATAAAAATTTAATTTGACTTTCTTATAGACATTTTTTTTTTGATAAAGGTAGATAATCTTATAAGGAATCTTGTATTACATTTTCAAATCTTAGATTAAAAAAGAAAATTTTTTACGAATTCTTAACTCAAAATAATTTGCTAATTTTCGTGATTTTTAAATATTTTGTCAATTTTTGAACTTTAAATGCTTATAAAAAAAAATTGTGAATAAGGATTTTTAATATTTTTCATCTGCCTTTGAAACAATATATTAGGAGCCTTGTATTAAATTTTCAAGCTTTCTCAACCAACAAATAAAATTTTATTGATATTTCTAGAAAAAAAACTAAAAAAAAAATGAAAAATGAAAATGTCCCTAAACAGTTCAAAATAAATCAAAATATTTTGAAAACGTTATCGTGTATATAAAATGCAAATATAAACAACCGGTGAAAATTTCATGTATATACGTTCGTTTCTTTTAGAGTTACACCAAAAATCAAAATCGATTTTTTGGAAAACCGATTTTGCGTAAAAATTCCCGTTTTTCCTTAATTTTTATGTTGTTTTTCACGGCGCTTGTGGAAACTACTGTGAAATTTTTAGTTTTGACCCCCCAAAGTACCAACTAGATTCACTTTCCTATCAGAGAAGTTACTGTTGAAGAAAATCCAAGCACTTTTACTGTCCTAAAACGTGATGACAGACACAAAAAAAAAAAATTAAAAAAATTAAAAAACACACATCATTGTAAAATCAATACATTCATCGTTTCACTCAGAATCTAAAAACACACATCATTGTAAAATCAATACATTCATGTTTTCACTCAGAATCTAAAATATTGTATAAAATTATATTATAATATATTATATAATCTGTGCCATTACTAAGGCTCTGCTGTCCGTTTGTCATCAGGCTGTATCTCATGAACCGTGATAGTCTGACAGTTGACATTTTCCCAGATGATGTATTTCTGTTGCCGCTATAACAAAAAATACTAAAAATCCGTCAGAATATATAATATAAGCAGTGTTGCCAACATGCATTATAACACCGGTCGGGCCCGAAATGGACCATTGGTGGGGATGGGGCTGTCTGCGGGCTATGGGTAGGTACCTATAATATACCTACGTCGTGTTCGTGGTATCAGTACGGTGTACTTCTTTGAGCGACATCGTACATTTATTATTACATTTTTATTATCATAGATCATACACAATAGATGGAGCTACAAGCTACTTTAATCATTTGCTGTGCCAACATAACCCCCCCATTTATTAGTTATTTTATAGTGATTTGCGTAATAAACGCGTTGTTCCCTTGAAATTAAATAAGTGGCGGGGATGGAATGTGAAGCGGCATAGGTGCAACTATGCGCAATAACTCGTTGTTCCATAAATTAATGGGCACAGCTCGGTATACGAGAAATACACACATAGCTCTATCCATTGTATATGATCTAAGATTATTATTTATTATAATATACGCACAGAGTTTGCGACGTTTGCGTCCATCAGCTCTCAGCCTGGTATTTTAATGAAATATTATATTGAATAATCCTGTTTCTTTTAAGATCATAACACTGATCTGCATTGCATAAATATTGTTTTATATAAGTATTAAATTCTAAATTATTTTATTTGACCTGTTATTTGATTACATGATGATTAGGTAATTTGTATTTATTAAAGATAATGGTGCGGAACTCTTCGTGCGTGAGTCGGATCCGGTGCAGATGCGTACGTCTCATTTGCGTACAGTCTATTTTTAGTTACAAATTTTCTCACTTGCGTACAATGTAATTACCCAGAATAACACCAAGTGTCATTTGCGTACACACTCATTTCCCTTCATACTTGGTCAGGCTTAGGACTGGCAGGATATTTTGCAATACTCTGGAGTGTTTAAAAATGAGGGCGTGCGAATAAATACGTAGCTAACCTTCGATAATTGTATACGCAACTGAGAAGAAAATCGCCGTGTACGCAAGTGAGACGTACGCATCTGCACCAACACCTAAGTATTTACTATGTCTTATACCTAGACTGACATATCGTCTCCGCTCAGAATCGTTTTTCTTATACAATGATATTATATATTTATATCATTGAATTCAAATTTAATACTGTCCATGAGTCCGACTGATACTTGGCTGGTTTTTATTATTATTATGAGACGGAACCAGTGAGCAACCATTTAACATATTCATTTTTTCAAAATGTGTTATTATTTGTCCAAACTGGTTTTATTAGATCTAAAACTGGTAAAATATGTTCTTATTTTTCTAATATTTTCAAATATGCAATTACGACAAAATATGCAAAATACAATTTTCAGTGTCACTTTCAAGCAGAGCTTGAAATCGATTTTAAATATCGATACAAATCGTTAAACATCATACAAGATATCAAAATCAAATATTTCTTTTGTAAAATAATTTATATTTTCGTTAATGGCAATTGCGGGTTTTTACGATCAATCTAATCGGTCCGCCGAGCGGTCGTACACTCGGGTGAATATTATTATTATGTTCGTAGTTAGTTCACTCAGTTGTGAGATACGCGTCGCGGCGATCGAACACTGTGTCTGTCAATATTATATTATTTAATAAAATAACTAAAAATGTAGTTTTGGTTTACATTTACACTTTTAATGATACTAAAAATTTATATTGAAATCGATGAAAATGTAAATCATTAGTTTATAACAATAATTACAAATCGAATTACAATTTAAAAAAATTAAAATTATTTTTCAATAATAGCCGATAGTTCTATAATGTTATTCATAATATAATATATAACTCATAATACGTTTTCTTTGGCCTGTTACGCAGCTGAGCAAACGACGACTAGTTTCTCGTACATCAGTGTGTAAACTCCGTATTGTGTTACACGGTAAATCGGAGTGCTCTAAGCGGGACATCCACTCTTTAAAAATTGTTGTTTGGTGGTGTAAGCTGGCTGTGAACATAAAAATATATACTACTCACGATATTTACGGTAATATAGGTACTGGCCGTAGTCCAGGTGACTGAGTAGTATATTAACATTACAGGTAGCTAGACCGTTTCGCTGATGATGCTGAGGTAATGGTTGAAATAAATTGTACACAGATGTGAATACAGTTAGGTTTTATTTAAATGTTCTCCAATAAATCGCACTAAGTCCAAATGACAATTATTACACAGAGTCTCGTGAAGGTGATTGCAGTAGAGATGAGTATGGA